GTTTATGTTAATGAGCTCTGTTGGTAACGCCCTCCAAAGCCAGCGTTAGCATGGCTAATAATAACAGAAGCGCCGTTGTACAACCATATGAGACCCTGTGAGACCCAGAGGCAGAGTCAGTCGCAGCTTCTTTTTTTTTCTCCCTCCTCTGCTCTGCGCTCACTCTGCATGCTGTTACCAGAGCAGGGAGCAGCAGCGTTCAAAAAACATCAGAAACTTGAACAAATAGGCTTTAACAAAGCTTTAATAAGCTAAACAATAGAGGTTCATGAGAAAATGTGTTCATAACGAACGAAAATAAGTAAATAATTAAATWGTGCCCATGCTGGTCTCAAACTCTGCTCTCCCACTCTCTGGTCCAACACTCTACCCATTGCCCTAATGGAGACTCGTTGTGACCTGAGCTGCACATTACACAACAACACGGTGACGGCTTTTTATATTGAGGAGGAGGAGCCTCACCRGGGGGTTGCTAGGTAAGGGGCTGAACGCAGGTTCCGGTGGGTTGTCGTACGGCTTGTGACATCACAAAATGACGGAAGTATAAAACTCGTCGTTAATACACATTAAAAATACATTTACTTACAGTAAATATGACCCTGGGTGCATTTTTTGGTCCTAGGACTGTTTTTTAAGAAATACCTACCCAAAGTTGAGTAAAAGAAAACTTTAAAAAGTGAATTTTTCATAATAGGTCCCCTTTAATTAATCACTGCCTATTTCACAGACAATATACAGTATACTCCGCATTATTAGAAGAGGGAATTTTTAATTATTCTCGATAACTATATAAACCATTTCAGTTTGGCAAAGTAAAGTTTACATCTGAGGGAATCGAGCAAGGGAAAGACCAAAGGGGATTTCTGCCACCTTAAAACCACCTCAAGTCTCAAAACGTTTGTAGCATTTCAGGCAAACTGTCATTTATAGACTTMGACATTATTGTCAGTTTTACATTTCAACATTAGGCTGTTTCATCAGAAATGTTGTACTAAAATGGCTCCAGCTAGATGCTGGTTCTATTTGCATATGCAAATAACCATACAATTTAGTGTAAATGACTGGGTAATGTGAAACTGACAGTGATTGTAAAAAAATGCATGAATTATTAGGAATATGAAGTTCTTCAATAGCAATCAACTTTTGTCTTGGCTTCACTCTGACTGTCTATTAGTGGATTAATTTGGTCAAACTCCAAATTGAAGCTGTTCAAAGATCTATTAACAGGTAAGATAATAATTGTTCATAAAAACTCAGAACTCCCTTTAAATTGTTTTCGGGCTAACTTTTAGACAGTATTTGAATTGTATATGTTTTCAACACCAGAATCACACTGCAAAAACTGTCCATCTTACCAAGTTTTAAAATCTTATATCCAGTCAAAAGTCTTTTTGATCTCATTTTGAGACTGATTTACTAAACAAGAACTGATTGTGTAAGAATAACAATCTTGTTTTCAGAATGTGTAAGATTATTTGTCTTGTTAGTCTGAAAATTTGACTCAAATTAAGTCAAAAATTTCTGCCAATGGAGTAAGAAAATTTTACTTGTTAAGATTCTTGAAGTAAGAAAAAATTGAGTCAAATCAAGTATTTCAAGAACCTTACCAAGTAAACTTTTCTTACTGCATTGGCAGATATTTTGACTTAGTTTGAGGGAAATTTTAATGCTAACAAGACAAATAGTCTTACACATTCTGAAAACAAGATTATTATTCTTACACAATCAGTTGTTGTTTAGTAAATCAGTCTCAAAACAAGATCAAAAAGACTTTTTTGCTGGATATAAGATTTTAAAACTTGGTAAGATGGACAGTTTTTGCAGTGTTTACATCCAATAGAAAATTAAAACTTTTGCAAAACTCTTTTATCAGTACCATTACTATTTTATTAGCATAGTAATAAAACGTTTGATTTGGTATCCTTCATTAAAGGTGACCTTTGACCTTTATGGTCAAAGGTTTTTTTATAGCTAGTGACCAATGTGGGAACAACTCCTACGTTGGTACAGCACCTGGCATTCCCAAACGGTCTCCCATCCAAGTTCTAACCAGGCCCAACCCTGCTTAGCTTCTGCGATAAGATGTGGTGTGTTCAGGGTGGTAAAACATTACCCTGATTTAATATCACATTGTTGAGACAAACAACAGAACATGGTTCAAATTAAAGATAAGATGATCGTTTGCATAGCACACAAAAGGTCCGTTCATGATGAATTAAAAACTTTCTAACAATAACATCATATTAATAGGAATGTAAAACCCTTATGAATAAGAACTGACAAGCAAATCATTTGAATTTTAACAAATTTTAAAAATGTGGTTGGCTTTTGTGAAAAAAAGTGTTATTAGTTTATTTTTTATACCTGTTTTGATGGCAGTTTTAATTGTACATACTACTACACACACAACCCCCCCTATATGAGTCCTTCGTGTCAGTTCCCATCCTTGTTTGTGTTTTAATTAACTTRAAGTCTGGTCAGTATGTTGGTCCGTGAGATAAACATCTGCAGACTTGTTTGTGGGACAACTCAGACATCCTGTGGTCTGTGGTGCAGGCAGGAAGTGGTCAGAGTCAGGGCGAAAAGACCCTGATGTGTCAGCACCCACCTGCATTTAACACACACACACACACACACACACACACACACACA